CAGAAGCAGTGACATAAGTCGTAGGCACAGCCCTATCCAAGAGGCAGAGACTTGGAGCAGCTTCTACCCCTGGGAGGAGTTCAGATGGCATGAGGTGCCGTGTTGTCAGGGAATCTTTATTGGGAAGGTTGGTCTGGAGAGACCTTTTACAGAATGTATTTATTTTGCCAGATTGAGAGAATTGACTGTTTATACAGCTTTTGGTTAAAATTCTATTTTTGTGGCAGAGCAGTTATTGTCTGAGGAAACAATCAACTACTTAAGGGAGAAGAGGTAGATGCTGGCGAGCAGAGAAGTATTTTTAGTTCCTCACATTTGTTCAATGCCTTCTTCAGTGTTTTGGATTTTAAGTCTGATAATCTTTTAACTTGGAAGAAAAAATTCTGAAGCCTATCTGGGGCACGCATTAGTGTTCTGGTGTTGCTGAGCATTCTGTAGAAGTATTTCCACATTCCGTGGTGGAAGAATTAGTTAGCGAGAGGCCGTTGTTATTTACTCTGCTCCTCTAATGCTGCAGTGATTCAGAGGGAATTATTTTAAACCACTGCCCTTGAATCCTGTGGTATGGTGTCTTAGATGCTAATGTATTTTTGTGATTCAGGCAAATGTACATGTGTGTACAGCTACCATGTGCCTTTGCGAGTTAATCTTGTTCCTTAGTGGTCGTGGGTAACCAGCTAGTTGCTCTCCTAGGATTTAGAGTATATAGAGGGCTCCCCTCTCACTTTCCACAATATTTTGAAAGATTAAAACATAGTCAATGCTCAAAAATATTGATCTAGCATATCTACTTGTATAATGTCTCTAGATTATTTTCAATGAAAGTGTCAATTATAGGTATGGTATCATCGAGTCTAGAACCATGGTTCGCCAATCTAGTTGAGCATCCAAATTACCCAAGGAGTCAAAAAAAATTACAGATTTCTGAGCTCTGATTACAGAATCAGAATACCTGGCTGGGGCTCCAAGAGGACCCTCATGGGCTGATATAATTGGCACCACTGCCTTATGAAATAATCCGTGGGTCATAGGTGGGGGTGGGTGTGGGTGGGAGTAGGAGTAGTTTGAAAATAGAATAGAGAAGAGAGGAACTTTTTTTCTAACCACTTCAACCAGGGGTGGGTTGTGGTAGAGAAGTAGCTAAATAAAATCTAGAAGCAACCACGTTTTAGCATTAAGGGCATTGCTTGTTAACCTTTTGTTCCTTTGAAGTTCTTTTTCAATCAGTCCAGAGGTTTCTAACCTGGAATTTTCCTAACTCTAAGAATTGGAGAAGGTAATGGATATTTAATAATCTATTTTTAAAAATATAACAGCTTTGTTGAGATGTAATTCACATTCTATTCAATTCACCCACTTAAAGTGTACAACTGAATGGTTTTGGTATGTTCACAGGTTGTACAGCCATCATGACAATGAATTAAGAACATTTTCATCACCCCAAAAGGAAACCTCATATCCATTATAAGTTATTTTTAATACCCAAAGAAATCTAACTTATTAGTCCATAGTAAAGCTCTATAGGTTAATAACAAGGTTTTTTGATTCTGGCTAGAGTTATATCAGATAAGAGTATCTCATGTTAAGCTTTGATTGAGAGTTATATTATCGTTAAAGGGAAAATGGATCAATAAACTCTGTTGGGGCCAGTCTTGCTGATGAGAGAACAGCAAGGCTGTGCATCTCTATACTGTCCCATCCTCCCCGATCGACTCGACGTCACGTGATGACTGGAGACCCGTGATGGAAGCCGTGTTTCAGTGACTTCTTTTGGATTGAGCAGGGAATAGACTAATATTTCTGCTCAGTGGGTAGATATGCTTTATTCTGCTTGAGATGGGAGAACTTGGTTCAAACAGCTTTTCCCATGTGTCTGTCTTATTGTACTGCTGCTGCACGGTTAATTCAGCTACACTGCAGCTCTTTTGAGCTAAATATCTTGACTAAATGACCTTTCCAAGGACTGCTATTAGTGTAACCTCACTCTATTGATAGATGTCACTTTACTCAAGAAAGCCCGTAGCCCGTAGGCTTTGGAAGTTTGGATTTGGGAATTGGAGCTGTAAGATTCCAGCTGACCCAAGGAAGGCAAGTCCCTGATTTACTGGGTTGTCTTGGGGAGGAGGAGCTGCTGGGGCAGAGGAAGCCCAGTATCATTTCAGGGGCAGGTTACTTCCCACTGGTCATGGTTTCCAGGTTTTAGATCCTTTGACAAATACAGGAAAGCAGTGGTCTATTACTAACTTTAATTATCCTCAGCTGTAGTTCTTGTTTCTGGAGTTACTATTCTGTAGGTTTCCAGAACTTCTTGACCCTTGACCCCTATCTCTGTCATCCTGGAGTTACACCCATGGACCACCCAGCTATGACACACCCAGAGCCATAACTCCAGGAAGACATTCATTTCACAGCTAATACCTTCCCCTGGGAATTTTTGGAATTAGTTGCTTTATTTATTTAATCCTCTTCAAATAGGAGTTTGCATACTTCTCATTGCCATGCTTAAAAGAAAAAAGAAAGACAAAGACAAATATACACAAAAAACTAGTATGATGCCCATGGAAACCCCCATGACCTCAAACAAAAATCTTACCCACCTCGCCTAAGACATTATGTTCTATGACTGAAGGAATGCTTTGGGTGGGTCCACCTTGGTGGGCTACACAGTTTGTGGATTATCCAAGCTTTGTCTTCTCTTTTCTCCCTTTCCTGTTGCATGAGTTTAGCCTCTTTCCTTGGTTGTTAGCACTTCACCCAGAGGGTGGCAGGAGTTGAACTCGAAGGATGATTTCCATTTTCTAGCTACAGTTGGTGGAGAACCATGAGCCAATAGCAGTTTGGGAATATCTGGTTATTATTATTTCTACTTGGATTCATCGAAAGGGGGTTTGTTTTGACAGGAAAAAGGGCTGTTTTATAAACCAGCCCAACTTTGACAAGTGTATTCCCTTGTTCCATCCACTTCAATTCTAGGTTCTCAAACTCCGGTGTGCAAAAGATTCAACCAGGGAGATTCCTGGGTCCTGTCTCATGAGATTCAATTTCCTTAGGGTGTAGACTAGGATTTTACATTTAGCAAATTGTCCCCAGGTCTTTCTGATGTAGATTAACTAGGAGCGAGCCAACTTTGAGAAACACTGTCCCGGAGTTTGTACTTTGCTGTTCAGGTGCCAATCCAGCCTTCTTTGTGGTTAAATCCTTGGCAATTAATAACGTGTAATTACAGTGTGTATAGTTTCCAAGGCAACACGCATGCTGTCACTCCTGCCAAGGCTGGGTGTGCACCACTACCACAGCCTCCAGGTTAATGTTATCGAAGTGCTTTATGATGACCAGATTGTCGTGCCATTCATCCAAGGGCCTTGCTTAATGGCAGCAGCAATAGTGAAAGTAAACACATTAGAAGCCAGAGAGTCCTTGGACAACTTCTGGAGGTGGCGACAAGGACATCAGGAGGGATGAGTACAGCCATTCAGTTGCCTGCATTTTTTCTTCCTCTAGCTCCTCAAATCACTTTAGTCCAGAATGGTAAGTCCAGATGGAGGAACACGAGATGACTTTGAAAGGCTTTTTTTTTTTTTTTTTAAAGATTTTATTTATTTTATTTTTTCCCCCCAAAGCCCCAGTGGATAGTTGTGTGTCGTAGCTGCACATCCTTCTAGTTGCTGTATGTGGGACTCGGCCTCAGGATGAACGGAGAAGTGGTGCCTCGATGCGCACCCGGGATCCGAACCCGGGCCGCCAGCATCGCAGCGCGCGCACTTAACCACCAAGCCACAGGGCCGGCCCTGAAAGGCTTTTGAAGGAGAATGGTCAGCTATGGTAAACATCTGACCACTGTTTCTTAGTTCTCAGTGATTAGTACAGTTAAAGTTCACCTGTTCTCACTTTGTCAGGTAAGGCTTAAAGTTATATTTCTTGAGCACTTATGATCCTATATATGATGGGAACTTGCACATAGATTTTCTTGCCTTTTTGACGTAAATGCAAAAGTTGCACACTTCGTACATTTTCCAGGTTTAAGGATGAAAAAAGATGAAGTCCATACCATATTTTAGCACTGGATTCCACTTATTGGTTTTAGTTTTAAAGCTGTAGGGCAGTAGAAAAATCATTCAATTCCCAGTCAGACTTTGGGGTCTGGTTCTGAATTCTGTCATAAACAGGATTTGCGACTGCAGGCAAGTTTCCTAACTTCTCTGAGACTCCGTTTCTACCTCTGGAAATGAGGGGCTTAGATGGGATCAATAGTGTTAACTTTTGAAGAGTGACACCCCCCTTGCAAAATCTTTCTTCCATGAAAAAAATACACACGTACTTAAGAAAATTACATTCACTTTCCAGGGGACCATAGACCCCTCCTAAGGTGATTTCTCAAGACTTTTCCAGTTTCTACTCAGAATTGCTGGGTCCCACAAGGACCTAGGGAGTCTTTCATTGTTTAAAGTGGCCTCCTGAGAAATGAGGTATTTGATGAGGGAGGTTTGTTGTTCCTGGCATTTTTTCCCTAAGTGCCCTGGGCATTTAGAAGGAGAAAAAAAAAGAAACCACACTGAGAAAAATAAATAGGGAATGAATGGCATCTGGAATATGAATTGCTTTCCTTATCATTCTTCATCACTGTGGCCCTTCAAATAGAGGTGGATGGAATAATTGTAACATGAAGGACGCGTAGAAGAATTAGTTCAGCACACAGATACTGTATTTTGTACAATGACAGTTAAGCAGTTACTTAAACTTGTTCTACTTTTAATGTTTGGGAAGTTGGGCTAGAACTTAAAGTTTTGGTTGACTTGAAAATGTCAAAAGGTTCTAGGGAGTATATCATGAGTGGAAATAACATGTTCTTTACCACTTCTTGGCTCTGAACTCTGGCCACCTTCCTAACTCAACACCAATCTCCTATCCATGGCCTAAAGTTATAATCCAATCAGGAGGGGATATCTGTAGTATTTGTTTGAAAACCTAGATACTTATTTACTTTTTCTTTTTCTGCTTAGGTGTTGAAAAATCTCCTCTAGAGCTTTGGAAAGCTGAATGAAGTAAACATGAAGAGCTTGAAAGCGAAGTTCAGGAAGAGCGATGTAAGTACGCTGTGACTCACGGTCTGGCCGCTCCACCCGTGCTCCCGGAGCTTCAGGAAGAGTCCCACTCCTGCCTTGATAAGGCGCTGGGTTAATCAACTGTAGAAGCCAGAAGCACTCGGGGCCCCGGCCCAGGGTGGTTTATGTGAATGGCGTGCTCCAGGTTCCTTGCTGTTTCTATGAATAGCTTTCAAAAGTGACATTTTTTAATACCTGGGGTCTGTGCCTTGTAAAGAAAGAAACAGTCAAATTAAACATCTTAAAGAAAATAATAAACCTTGGTAAAAACCTCGGTATTTCTAAAGTCCCCCAAATCTGACTCAGAATGTCATTTTTAGAGGAAGCTAGTCTCATGAGAGTGGCTAAGGAATTACGTATTAGCACGATTTGTCTTTGGCTTTAGGAAACTTTTTAACTCTCTGTTAAGGCTTTTGTGGCAAAACAGCAGTATCTATTGCTGCCTGCACCTTTACTCCCCCTGAATTCCTGGGGTTCTTACTCATTTGTTATCCATCATAAAAGACGGGATTAGAGGAGCAAGTTATGATGTCAGAATTATGAAACAAAGTCTCCCAATGGAGAAAAATAACATAGCAGCGGGATTATACACAATGCTATTTTAACAAAAGGTCACCTCGTAAACCCTGCTGGGATTCCAGTCTTGTACTAGCTGTGATCCAGATGCTTCGAGCAGAATTGTTGAATGGGCGAAATTCATGGAAGTGTATTAGATGGAAGCGGAGATATGTCACCCTCATGATGGGCTTGCTCAGCTATCATTTAAAATTAGATAATTAAAGGTGAACCTGGATTTTATTGCTTTGCAATGAATTATATGACAGCTTGGCACAACTGCATTTTTGCAATAAATGGAGGCTGTGTTTTTTACGGCTAACATGTCACACGCACACCTCCTTTTGGCTGAAGCTTATCTCCAGAGGCTGCACATGACATGTAAGTTACTGCCCTGATAAGACCCAGACCAGAAGAGATGCTTGTGGGATGATTTAAAAATCTTCTCTTACTTAACGGAAGTTAGAGCAAGAAAGGGTTTTTAGGAAAACGTTCGTCTTACTTGCTCATTCTTCAGGTAAGTTAACTGGAACTCAGAGAATGTGAAGTGACTTGGCCAAAGTCATCCAACTAGTCTTTGGCTGGTGAGCCTTGGTCATCTGATTTCCTTAGCCCTTGTCCCTGCCATTCCTCTGAAAAACCCCATTCAACTTCTCCTCTGCTTACTGCCGTATGATAACTCCAGCTCGTACATCTCATTTGGCTCTCAGTTAAGAGGAAAAGGCAACTAAATGGAAAATGTTGCCCACTTGAGCAGATATGGGTTTATAAATTGTGCGACCAGGTTAACAAATGTCTTTTCCATTCTGAGGGAATTTGGGTAGCTTCCATTTATACAAGTTGAGATTATTTTAGCAAAATTTAATCAGTCTAGAGTTCCGTAATGAACGGGTACAAGGGGAAATGAGAGGCACATAAACTTTTGGTTTAAAAATTAAAAACTGGTGGCATTAGAGAGGGTGTTGCTGAAGTCTAGTTTTTAAATAAAAACTGAAATATTTCCATGATAAAAAAAAAATCACAGTAATAACACTATTAAGAGCTTCTGGGATTTGGCAGCAGAAAGGCTGTGATTTTGGCAGAGCTAAGAGAAAAAATGTTAGAGGAGCAAGCTTGGGGGAGAGGAGCAAAGGAAATTGATAGAATGGGGCCAGATGATCGAATGGCTCCCCAAATTCATCCCAAATTTCTTCCCAGAGTCACACTACTGTACAGCTAAATGGAGGGAATAAAAACAGAAAACCATTTCAAGCCCCAGTTTGTTCATCAGCCATATGATAATAATAACTAACCAGTATGGAGTATTTACTATGTGTCAGGTGCTGCTAAGCTCTTTGTGTGAATTTGTTTAATCTTGCCATAGACCTTATGTGGTAGGTATTATTGTTGGACTCATTTTATAGATGAAGAAACTGAGACCTAGGGAGGTACAGTAACCTCTCTGGGTTCTTAGAACTCTTATGTTGTAGAACCAGTTTTTGTGCCAAAATAGCCCGATTCCAGAGCCCAGATTTCCTGAAAGAGGAATTTTGGATGGAGATTTGATTTTATGAAACAGTAAAATCTAGGGAGTCACTTGGAAAAGCGACTTTGGACGTAGGTTTGTGGCCTTGGGCAAGTCTTTTACCTTTCCTGAAACTCAGGTTCCTCCCCTGAAATGTGGAGAAAATAATATGAGCCTTACAAAGTTGCTGTGAAGGTGAAATGTGCTAATGTGTGTAACACACACATCTTAGGGCCTGGCACTCAGGAGATGCTTGGTAAATATTTACTCCTTTGTCTTAATCAGAAACCCATGATAAAAAGTAGTTTGAAAGTGTATATGGTCTGGAGAGCAGAATAATCTGGTAACAGTTGCTGCCTCTGAGGGAGAAACTGAGAGCTGGGAGTGAGTGGGGGAGGGAGGCTTGATTTTCAATGCATGCCTTTCAGTTTGAATCTTTTTTGTATATGTATCTGCACAGACATGTATCACTTCTTACAAGAAAAACAAGTTTTAAACTGTTTATATTCAGTTAAATGAGCCAAACTATAATCTTCCTTACCCAAAGTGAGTGGTCTCTCTCAAGGAATGATCCTAAACTATCAGCCATCAAATTTTCCCTCTTGTCTTTGGGTGAGGCTGAAAGAATGGGGAAGAAAGGGTTCTTTGTGTTTCTGGAGGGTAGGAAAAAGAGAGATCGCAGATCATGTTCGCACTTTCATAAAGAGAAGGCAGGTGACCCACTGGCATGATCTCGTTTCAGCCAGCCTATTTCTGGGAGGTCTGTAGCCAGATCAGTTTGTGGCCATTGAGAGCAAAACCCAGGAGTGAAAAAGGACAAGAGTGGCCCAAAGGAGCCCCCCGTGGATGGCCTTAAGGCCCCTCTGCTACTCCAGGACCATCATGCGGGTAGAGATTTAATCTGAGTGTCTTTTCTGGAACGCTTCAGATGGCTACCAAGTCAAGGACATGTTTATGTGCGTGTAAGAGGGGAATGAGCCTGGTTCTGTGGGCTGTGGTTAGATAATGTCATTGTCTAGTTGCTCTCACCCCTGAACATATTTGGGACCCTGCAGATAACCCACAGAGGCCAAAGACAGCTGTGGAGCTAAGCACTTGTCCTTCTACAGTGGGTGACATTTGTCAGTTCACATTTGTAGGTTTATTTGGGGTGTCCTTAAACCTGAGTTAGATACTAGAGAAGATATAGAAGAAATGTGAAGTATGCTTCTTGTCTTGAAGAAGCTCATAAACCAAGGTGAGAGGAGAAAAATTACATGCAGGAAATAACAAAGGCAAAATACAAATAGTATGGAATATTGATATTAAGGAAACATTCAAGATGATATAACCAGTTAAATTGTGGGGTCTGGATGATAAATGCTGTAGATTTTCAGACAGGGATGAATCACTGGAAAAGGGAGAATTTGGGGGAGGTTTACAGAGGTGGTGCTTCTTCCAGGCCTTGAGGATGGGTAGAATTTGGAAGGATGGTTGGGAGAGGAGGAGAGGGTAATGTAGGGGAGCCAGCCATGTATCACAGTGGGTAGACTCTCTCTCAAAAAATTGCCTTTGACGTGCAACATAGTAATACTTGAAGAGCCCAGGAGAGCGCCCTTGGCATGGCTCTGAGTCGTCTTTTAATAAGAACACCATAAATTTTTCATTCTAGTTTTAAAAATGGATATTCTTAACTTTTCTGCTTATAAAATGAGCACCGAGTTCTAAATCATCATTATTTATATCTTCTATGACTATAGTTTGAAATGGCTTCTTTACCTCTTTAAATATTTGCAGCAACTAGTACGTGGTTCCACGTGGAAAAATGAGCTGTCATCATGAGAAATGAGGCCAAGAAGGTTGGGATTTCCCTTTGCTAATAAAATGCTCAGGCTTCTGGAATTTCTTTGTAAATGCCAATTTTTAGTGCCTTGAGCAAAATGGGTGGAGGTTGAGAGATGGGAAATGGGATTGAAAGATCTTTGTAACAAATCTTGAGAAATGCCTCTCAAACAGGATCGAGGCCTTCAGAGTTTACTTTGTGGGTGTGTGTCGAATTTTATGAAAGATTTGTTCCCAGTTATGTTTTTCATCCTAATAGGGAAGCCACGGATATTCCATAACAAAATCAAAGCAGCCAATTCGAAATGGCTGGCTCCATGAGAGATTAAATTGATGGTATTTCTTTATGTAGCGGCTACTAACAATTGTAGCTTTCAGCCAAAGAAGTTCACGTACCCCGTGAGTCTTGAGGAACCAGACACATCCTGCTCAGACAGGAGTTTGAATTTGTTGCCTGTTGAGAATAGCTCTCACGAAGGTCGATAATTGACGTCTCTGCCAAGGTATTTTTTCAAGGCGTTTTTAGTCGTTGATAGTTAAGTTTTTACAGATGCCCAAGCCTCCCTCCCCCACCACACACACACACACACACACACACACACACACACACACACACAAAATGGGAATATTTAAAACCCAAGTCTCTGTTGAGAGGAGCCTTCGCCAAATCTATTGTAAACTAAGCCTCTTTTTTTTCATGAGCATAATTTTAAAGAGATGACCTTTTTGGGTGGAGGTATGAGACTTGTAAACTTCTGGAGAGAAACTCAGCCAGGTTGGCTACATATTTTCCAGGTCTTGTCAGCCTTCTTAAATGGGGAATCTGCTTGCTGCCTGAGTTCACCTTGTGTTAGTGTCCTAGGGCTGCTGTAAACACAAACTGAGTGGCTTAAACAACAGAAATTTACTGTCTCAGTTCTGGAAGCTGGAAGTCTGAGAACAAGGTGTTGGCAGGATTGGTTCCTTGTGAGGGCTGTGGCAGCGAATCCGTTCCATGCCTCTCCTAGCTTCTGGTGGTTTGCTGGCATTCATTGGCTCGGCGATGCATCACCCCGATCTCTGCTCATCTTCACGTGGTGTTCTCCCTGTGTGCATGTCTGTC